ACTTTCTATCCATTTCTCTCTCTCTTCCTCTCTCTCTCTCCTCTTCTCTCTCGCCGGGGCGGAACTCACTGCGGGTTCACGCCCTCGGCCCACGCCCTCGGGAGATGAGACACCTGGGTCTCATTAGGATGATCAGCATTTAAGCCAGGAGGTGACTGCTGTTCGTCGCTGGATTGTTGTCTACCACGTGTTAGTGAAGCCAAGCTACAGCAAGTCAAGTCAAGTGTGTTTCTTTTGTGCGTTGTATTTAACCCCATCTCCCTGTCTGCAGAGCTCCCTGGATTCTACCCCGTGTGATTCCCGAGTGGCGAGTGTTGGACTTCCCTGGAGTCCCTTTTCCCTCACTCAGCTGTACATAGCACTCCCCCCACACCTTCTTGTATATACACCTGGTGAATTGTAAATAAATCTTTCTTGTGTGCATCTGAACCCGGAGTCCTGCGCTTGAGTCCTCCTCTAAACCATAACAAAATTAATGAATTGATATTCCAATATTCAAACTAAAATCGATTTGAATTGGAAAATCGATATTTTAAACCCACCCCTAACAATAACCCTACAAAATCAGTTGTAACAAGCCCACATTTGCTGAATATTGTAGCTATTGAGTAACTCAAAGGCAGAGCTTAGCAGAGGCAAAGGATACCTATTTTTTACAGTGATTTCATTTAAGCCACAGTAGTCAATACATGGTCTAAGAGTCTTGTCCTTCTTTTCAACAAAGAAAAAAACGGCCCAAGAGGAGAGGAGGACGGCTGAATGATTCCTGCAGCAAGTGAATCGGTGATAAATTTTTCCATTGCTTCCCTTTTGGGTTGTGACAGACTGTACAGGCAGCTAGTGGAAAGTGGCGCACCAGGGAGGAGGTCTGTAGCATAGTCATAGGTCTTTGCGGAGTTAATGACAATGCCTCATGCTTCCTGAACACCTCTGCTAGGTCGTGATAAACGGCAGGTACTGAGGAGAGGTTGGATGGATCTGAAAGCAAAAAAGGTTTTGGAGGACTGATGGATGGAGTTGCTGACAGTTCATGTGACACTCCTCTCCCACCTGGAAATGCAACCCTTTCTCCAATCCATATGGGGATTGTGTTGCTGGAGCCAGGGGTAACCCAAAGTGTGGAGAGGGGGGTGCTTTAAATGCAAAAAAAGGTCTTTATTTGGTATGGGGTTGTTTTTCTTCTTTTTTTTCTCTTTATTTGGTATGGTTAATAGACAGGGTCACCAAAACTGGCTTGGTAACATGAGTGATGTCGGGAAGGCACTGTCCGCTCAGCGCAAAGACACAGAGCATTTGTTGTGTTTAATCTGCGAGCCAGGGAGGCGTCGATAAAGCTTTGCTCTGTCCCAGAATCAATTAGAATGCAGAGTGAGAGAGTGGCGGCTTGAATTGTAATTTAGCAGGGATCGTGAGTGGTGGAGGAAAATTTTTACTTAACAGCTTGCCCACCTGTACTTCCTCCTCTACCGGCAGGTGCGATCTTTTGTCAGCGATGGATATGCGGAGGTGAAATGATCTTTTTGACCACAGTACAAACACTCACCGGCCGCTAGACGACAATATTGCTCCACAGGGGTCAAACGAGAGCACCCAAGCTGCATGGGTTGCTCACCTCCACTGTTTTTCTCGTACTCCCGGAGGAACTAGATTCTTTTAACAAGCAGTGGAAATGAGCTTCCTTCAAAAGGTGGCTGGGAACTGCCTTAGAAAAAGGATAAGGAACTAGGATAGGAAAAAGGATAAGGATAAGGAACAGTGGAGCCACTCGTTTTCCAAATCAAAAGGAACATGTTGAGTTGGTTTGTGCATCTAAGGATGGATGAATGAAAATGGATGAATGGAACCACATTTATAACATTCAGTGCATAGCAGTGTTGGGTAAGTTACTTTAAATTAGTAACTTAGTTACATTACTAGTTACTTCCATCAAAAGTAACTCAGTTACTTCAAGTTACTCATTACTTTCAAAGTAACTAGTTACTAGGGAAAGTAACTTTAGTTTTACTCAGACTTCTCTTGTTAATGTGTTGCTTCCATAACTTTGCCAGTCTTCTAGCTTGCTTACTTGCCACAAGTGCACTGTGCCACCTACCAATAGAAAGGAAAAGATAATGTGCACATTTCCACAAGAGAAATCCCACGCCTGGACCGTCATTGACTGCTGCCATGATTCTAGCCTACGTCACAGCGTCATGTGCGCTTTTTACATCCAACACAAAAACTGCAGTCGTGGTGGTTTCGATTGTACTCGGAACTCGGAAATTCTGCCTTCTGAATAGAAAGATGTAGGTAACACCAGACTGCAGATGAGCTGCATACAGGGCTGGACTGGGACAAAAAATCGGCCCGGGCATTTTGACTAGAGACCGGCCCACCATTATAGGAAAAATCATAAAGCCTTTGAATGAAAACAAACGCTGTTGTGACAGTGATGTACACTGTCTTGATGGCATATATACACTCAACAAAAATATAAACGCAACACCTTTGTTACTGCTCCCATTCCCCATGGGATGGACGTAGAGACCTAAAATTCATTCCAGATACACAATATAACCATCCCTCCCAAACAGTGGTCACAAATCAGTCCAAATGTGTGGTAGTGGGCACATCTGCTATATTGAGATAATCCATCCCACCTCACAGGTGTGCCACATCAGGATGCTGATCTGACATCATGAGTAGTGCACAGGTGTACCTCAGACTGCCCACAACAAAAGGCCACCCTGGAATGTGCAGTTTTTTGCGCTATTGGGGGTCTGGGGACCCAGAACCGGTCAGTATCTGGTGTGACCACCATTTGCCTCATGCAGTGCAACACATCGTCGCATGGAGTCTATCAGATTGTCAATTGTGGCCTGTGGAATGTTGGTCCACTCCACTTCAATGGCTGTGCGAGGTTGTTGGATATTCATGGGAACTGGTACACGCTGTCGTATATGCCGGTCAAGCACATCCCGAACATGCTCAATGGGTGACATGTCCGGTGAGTATGCTGGCCATGCAAGAACTGGGACATTCTCAGCTGCCATCTGCCCTGAACAATGTGAACCATGATTCATCCGTGAAGCGCACACCTCTCCAACGTGCCAGACGCCATCGAATGTGAGCATTTGCCCACACAAGTCTGTTACGGCGACGAGCTGGAGTCAGGTCAAGACCCCGATGAGGACGACGGGCATGCAGTTGAGCGTCCCTGAGACGGTTTCTGACAGTTTGTGCAGAAATTGTTTGGTTGTGCAAACCAATTGTTCCAGCAGCTGTCTGGGTGGCTGGTCTCAGACGATCTTGGAGGTGAACCTGCTGGATGTGGAGATCCTGGGCTGGTGTGGTTACACGAGGTCTGCGGTTGTGAGGCCGGTTGGATGTGCTGCCATATTCTCTGAAACGCCTGTGGAGACGGCTTATGGTTGAGAAATGAACATTCAATGCACGGGCGACAGATCTGGTTGACATTCCTGCTGTCAGCATGCCAGTTGCACGCTCCCTCATTGCTTGTGGCATCTGTGGCATTTTGCTGTGAGACAAAACTGCACATTCCAGGGTGGCCTTTTGTTGTGGGCAGTCTGAGGTACACCTGTGCACTACTCATGATGTCAGATCAGCATCCTGATGTGGCACACCTGTGAGGTGGGATGGATTATCTCAATATAGCAGATGTGCCCACTACCACACATTTGGACTGATTTGTGACCACTGTTTGGGAGGGATGGTTATATTGTGTATCTGGAATGAATTTTAGGTCTCTACGTCCATCCCATGGGGAATGGGAGCAGTAACAAAGGTGTTGCGTTTATATTTTTGTTGAGTGTATGTATCAATCTATCAATCGTTTGTGGTAAGACTCAGATAATTATTTTTTAAAAGCTAGACATTTTAAATGAGAATAAGAAAGAAAAGTATTTCTTTGTGCCCACCTCTCCCTGTTAATGCCCCACATGCCCCCCCCCATTGATCAGTTTCATGATTGAAGTACAAACAGGAGAGAGAGGGGGAGAGAATGAGAGGAGAAGAGGCAGCTGTGCAGCAAAGACACAGAATAACTCCAGCTTTGTGTCTTTTTCATTGTAGCTGAAGTACGGGACAAACTGTTTCTTTTCACCTCAATAAGAAACGCGTAATATTTTTTTTTAATATGAGACGATTCCGTTTTTTAGGGTACGGCTGGCAACTCTAATAATTAACCTTATGAACAAAATAAAGTTCACTATCAGTAACATCATAGCACTCACCCAGCTGTATAGAAACCCCGTCATGCTAGCTAGCACGCAGTACGAAAAAGTCAGCATAACGAAAATAAACTCCACCTAAACTTGGTTTATATCTGACCCAGAGAGACTGCAAGTCATAACTTCTTACCTGAAGTTCAGTTCACCTGACACTCGGACGGGCGGCCGCTTCGGGTCTCTCCTCCTCCTGCCTCCCTTTTCCCTCATCCACCTGCTGGCTTCCACCACTTGCTAATGTTACTGAATCTGTGGAAGCTCCGCGATTGCCACCACACGAAGTAACGAATAACGAGCCTATCTAAATCCCAGTAACGAGTAACGCGTTCCTGGTTTTGGCATAATAACTAGTTACGGTGCTCGTTATCACAATAATAACATAGTTACTGTAACGCGTTACTTAATAACGCGTTAGTCCCAACACTGGTGCACCGCAGCAATTTCCTAATGTTGTAAACCTGCTCAACATTTGGCAATAAACCCCTTTCTGATTCTGATTCATAGAAATAGAAGCATGCCAAAAAACATATGAAAGAAAATATAATGATAAAGAGAAAAGAAACAATAATGCAGTTCAGTGGTATTAGTGACAAGGAAGTTCACTGTTCATTATGTTTCCTTCCCTATTCTGAAAATATCAATTGTCAATAATAGGCTTTAGCAGCACAACAGTATGTGGATCCAGTCTATTTCACAATTTCTTCTATCCAATCACTAAATACAAAAATTACTCTTATTACATCCTGGAAAAAGCATGAGATAATGTGACTCTACCTGTTCTCTGCAAGGAACTTTTTCCAGCTTCCACAAAGATCTTCAGCCGCTCTGGACAAATGTGAGTGAGGATGTTTTCATTGTTTTTCATTCTAGCAGTATCAGCATTCCATCTCTGTCTGATAATGTCAGCCTCTGGTTTCAGTGCGTTCCATGTCAGGGTCTTCAGATCAAGTTTAAGGAAATCTTCTCCATTATAACCATACTTAAAGAAGCTAATCACCTCATTAGTGTTTTCATCCCATTCACAGCCACTTATACTCTGTAAAATATGGACACCTGAAAAGAGGAAGAGAGAAAAGCTATTCTCCAATGTCTGTGTACATGTTTTAAGTCAGATAATCTGTCAGTTTTTTATTAATATGAATAATAGGAGTTATAATTGGAATGTTGCATATTTTACTTTGCTCAAGACTGTGTCAGAAGTCTTCTGATAGACATCTAGGCTACAAATGCTAATAATAAAGATTTTTCAACAATAAAGATGTTAATATATAAATTTTTAAAAGCAAAATCCAAGTCTACCCATTTTTTATGCAAAACTTAGATTGAGAACAATAATATAAATGCATTGGTTGTATTTTAATGTTTACTTTTAACTTTTATTTTAATGTTGATCAATAAGGTTTGATTCCTGGTCTCAATCAAGAAGCAGAACATTTAGCATTTAAATCTTTATTGACTATCAAATGAATACTGCCTAAATCACATTTATTTAGGCACTATATCCCATGATTTATAATTAACTGACATAAGGTATAACAGAAAATACTGCACCGTCACTTTGGTTAAACTGTTGTTCCAAACTAAAGGCCAGGTCTCTGAAGAAGTTTGGTACAATCACAAAACACTGTTGAGTGAATGATTCTGAAAGTGTAGGGTTGTTATCCAGTATTTTCTTCAGCCAGTCATGTCTTATTTCTAATATCTTGTTGCTGCCGTCACAGGAAATCACTTCACTGCCATCAATCACTGATCTACTAAAAAACTCTGAGACATCTGGAACTCTAGCGATGAAATGGATCACTGAGTGTTTCACTGTAGGAAAAAAATATTTTTTATCTTAGTAAGTTCAGTAAATAAACTAAAAGTAAAACAAAAATACAAACATTATCAGACATATGATTAATTCAATATGACTAAGGAGCATAACATGCAGTAATAGTGACTTTGCAGAACCTACAGCAATTCACAGAGACAGTTTGATCACTGATGAAATTTGACAAAAGAGAAACTTAATCACAGTTTGCTAAAACCAGAGCCAAAGGACCAGCAGATTACAACAAACATTAATACATTTAGATGGTATGCTTTTAGCCAACAATAATTTTATTGGGGGCTGAATTTTGTAGGATATATATTTTAAATATATCCAATGACAACTCATTTTAGGGATCAAGTTCACTGTACATCCTGTAAAACACAAAGTATTTTGTGTTTCTAATCATGTCTTTGAGTAGAATGCTATACTGTTTAGGTTTACACATAAAAATATTGCAAAATGCTTTTCATCAATAGGGATGCAAATGCGTACGATACAATCAACAAGCATAAACTAAGATTTACAAATGTGTGCAATAGGGCTGCCACAAACGATTATTTTGATAGTCGACTAGTCACCGATTATTTTTGCAATTAGTCGACTAATCAGATCACGTATCCATTGGACATAAAACGTACAGCTTATTGCACCAGCATGTGTCTGCACTTATATAGCTATCACTAGCTTACAGCTTGACGTGTTTAAGGTATGTGCTAACCAAAAATAAAGATAAGATGATAGTTTATTAAATTTTAATGAAATTTGCAGATTGTCTCGGTGAAGTTTAATAAACTCCTTGCTATCTAAAATATAACAGGACACTGGAATAAATTCTCGACCATATAAAACTTCTGTTTAATCAGTTTTCTGTTCGACATATATTCAGCTGTGTGAAAACTATAACTTTAATCTCAGCCAAACCGATTTACTCAGGAACAAACAAAACACTGAAAAAAGCCAAACAATAACATTTTTAAGTTATCTATAAGTGACTTATATATCATGTTAAACCTGAGTAGTGAAAACAATGTGCCGGGAGTTGAACCTTGACCTCCCGGCCAGCTCGTCTCCAAAAATGTCGGCACACTTTTGCAAATATAGGATGTCTTGATAAATCAAGCAGATATTTGAAGTTTACATAGCTACATTCTTGCCTGAAAATATCTGAGTAATATTACAACTTAGTAGCTGCCGCCATTGTTGGAAACTGGAATTGGCTGAGCCAAGCTATGAATTCTGGAATAGGTTGGGTCAGGAAGGACACACCCGACCCATCCTTCAAATCTGGGGAAATTAAGGATGCATTTGTCGGCCGCATTTGGAGAAGTCTTCGAATTTGGACAGCCTTTGTCACTGCCACTGTAACGTAATCGGCCTACAAATGCGAATTGTATTTGGACACAGCTATGATACCGAAGACTGCTTCTTCTTCTTCTTCGGGGTTTAACGGCAGCTGGCATCCTTGTACATGCAGTGCTTCCATCTTCTGTTTCAGTCCGTTACTACACTCTTAAATCCTACTACTTATTCCTGCATCTTTCAGGATCTTACAAAGCTTCAAATGACACATCGACTATGAAATTAGTCGTCGACGATTTTAATAGTCGACATAATCGTGACTAGTCAACGAATAGTGGCAGGCTTAGTGTGCAATAATTTGTGTGTAACTTTTGAGAACTTACAAGCACACCTTTCACTCGACGCACAAACACACAGCAATCTGGCCACACTTAAAACTATTTTACAAATGCATACATCCAAAAATGAATAAATACTGATCATTTACACACAATTTATTAAGTTCAGCTTCAGGAATCTGATAATTTTCTATTCCAAAAACCCTTTTTGTTCTGCCTTACTACAAAAAAATATATTTAGAATTAATTGATATTATTTTCTCTGTCATCAGCTGTTCATGTTTATCCACAGTTGCATAAAGTCATTTCAATGGTCTGTACTGCCGGTGTCTGGTAAAATACCCTTGCATCATCAGACCACTTTGTATTAAGTAAACATTTGTTGTGATTGTGTAAAGTTGAGAAAAGGTTATGCAACTTCACATGTTGGAGAAAACAATATGGCTTCTACCTCAGACAGGTGCACCAAACTTGAACTTGTATATTACCAAAGAATTCTGCCATGGTCTTGGGTCTGTGACCCACTGTTTATGTCTTTTAGCTTTTGATTCTGGTTTATTCAGTATTTTGAGGTTTATTTTGTATTCCAAGTTTTGGTTCTTATTATAATAAGAAGTTTGCAGATGACACGGCCATCATGGGGTGTATCTGGGATGATCAGGAAGAGGAGTACAGAAGTCTGGTGAGGAACTTTGTCGCATGGAGTCACACAAACCACCTGCAACTCAACACCTCAAAGACTAAGGAACTGGTTGTGGACTTCGGGAGGTCCAGAGAAAGTCCACTGCCGGTTCAGATAGAGGGGGAGGAGGTGGTCAACAAGTACAAGTACCTCGGGCTGTGGGTGGACAATAAACTGGACTGGTCATGCAACACAGAGCACCTGTATAAAAAAGCCCAAAGCCGACTGTACTTCCTCAGGAGGCTGAGGTCTTTTAACATCTGCAGGAAGCTCCTGAGGATGTTTTACCAGTCGGTGGTTGCTGGAGTACTTTTCTATGCTGTGGTGTGCTGTAGGAGCAGCACAGCAAAGAAGGACTCATCCAGGCTGGAGAAACTGATCAGGAGGGCTAGCTCTGTGGTCGGCATGAAGCTGGACACTCTGGTGACAGTGGCAGAGAAAAGGACATTAAAGAAACTGATGGACATTATGAACAATGCTGGGCATCCTCTGCACACGGCCATAAACAATCAGAAGAGTCTGTTCAGTGACAGGTTGCTTCTCCCCAAGACAAGAACTAACAGACTTAAAAACTCCTTTGTCCCACACACCATCAAACTGTTTAACTCCTCTCTGGAGGGGAGAGGGAGGGGAAACAGGAGGACAAAGGAGGGGGGAACAACTAAGCTGTAGTGCCTCTTCACCTCACTGTACAATACCTTGTGCAATACTTTTGTTAATAGTCAATGGTGCAATAGACCTCAATACTTGAAATGTGCAATTCACTTGTATTTTTATTTTTATTCCTATTTATTCTATTTATCCCCTTCATATATTTTATTTATATTTGTATCTGTATTTATATATGTGTGTGTGTGTGTGTGTGTGTGTGTGTGTGTGTGTGTGTGTGTGTGTGTATATATATATATATATAACATTCTGTAACTCTGTAACTTCTGTCGGTGCTGTGCTTTTTTGGAAACCGAATTTCCCAGAGGAACCCACCCGAGGGATTAATAAAGTTCTATCTTATCTTATCTTATCTTATCTTATCTTATCTTCTGTGTTTCATGTTTGTACATGAAACACCGAAGTACAATTATATTCCATGTTATAAAACAGGACGATCGAGAACTTGGTAACTTTTGGTAACTTTTCCCAGCACAAAAATGTCCAGCATGTAACAGCAGATTATTTAAACCATATATTAACTTTTATAGTCCACTGTGTAGTGTCTTTAATTGGTAAATCACTTTTTCTAGATTTTTTTTTTAAGAAAACAAATGTCCACTTTATTTGGAAAAAAAAAAAACAACAACCAAAAAAAGCAGGTCTAAAATTGGAAGCACAGATGTCCCAGTTTTGAACTGGGACTTAAAGGCAGCTCACATTTGTGGAGCTAGAGCGTCAAATCATCACGTGAGCCTGCAAAGTGATTTGTGTGTATCAGGAGATTCGTCCACACAGTTTCAAGGTTTTGTGAGCGAGCAAGAGAGATGTTACGTATAGTTTTAGATATTTGTCCACGCAGAAAGGTATTTGAACGTCAAAATAAATCGTGTGTATTTATACAGATTTGAATGTACACATTTGTAAAATACTTTTACGTGTGGTCAAACTGCTTCGTATTTGTGTGTGGATTAAAATACGCGCTCCTATGTCCTCAAAAGTTACACACAAAATATTGCACACATTTGCAAATCTTAGTTTACGCTTGTGCAGCATATCGTAAGCATCCTTTTTGAGGCAAATTTCTCTCCGCTTTTCCACTAACCTGGAACAGTTTCATATGTTATTAAAAATGATAAATTAATGCTAAAACTTAATGTATATGGTTCAGGCTATTTCAAGTAAAACGTTTTGGGGGTTTTTCTTACCTGCAAATAAACCATGGCAAAAGAGAAGCAAGACAAATAGCTCCATCGCTCTTTATCCTTATTGCGACAGGAAAAAGAAACCAAAACAAAACCGTTACTGGAGTGGCGTATCTGAAAAAGAAGTTTCAGCAGCCCCACCCACCTTTGTTGCGTTGAAGTTCTGCCTCCAAAGGGCATATCCTAACATAATTTAACCCGGAGAAAAAAATGCTTGATACGTTGTATTTTTAAAGGTTTGAAACACCCAAGATACATTTTGAAAACTTATATTCGCGGTGCGCTACGGACAGTACAGTAGTGCAATTCATCCTGATCGGTGATTGGTCAAAAGTCTACGGTGGCAGAAGAGGGAAGAAGAGCCTTGTGATTGGTGAAAAATGTGCAACGAAGGAGACTTCTGTTTTTCATTCAGTCTATTGTCTTTTTTTCTTTATCAGCTGATGTTTCCAGCTTCTTTATCCCACCTGATACCTGGACTGCTGTATGTGGTCTTCAGCACGATCCTAGTGTGTTATATAATTATTTTTACTGGTTTATAATCACACGACAGTAAGCATTATCAGTGTATATTCCAATAAAAGCATCTAGTTGTTACTCCAACATCGATGAGGATTTTCTTTTGGCTCTTTTGAACCAACAGGTTGGAAGATCCCCTGAAATTAAAAGCAACTGAAAATCAATACCTTTCTTTTCTTCTGTGATTATTATGTGCAAAGACTAGCCATAAGAGGAGTCTTTTAGGTTCTCCTGATGAGACAATATAATTGTTTTACTTTTCTACTGGTAAAATCTGAAGGATCCTATATCCTCTTATATCTCCCCCCGAGGTGGAGGAAGATCTCAGCCTGGGCGTCTATTGGCTTGTGTAGTCTGGAAGATGTGTGGATGATGGGGTGGGTGCAGTTTTCTCTGTGGTGGGGTCGGGTGGACTGTCCCGGGCTCTGTGGGGCTGGGCGGCGCTGTTGAACTGGGCCCCGGTCCGGATGGGCCTGGGTCCCCTTTCCCTGGTGGGTTGCAGAGTATGGGGGTGCCTACTGGGGTCAGCGGGGGACCTGGCCCTAGGGAGGGGTCACTTGCCCCTCCCTTCCTTCCCTCCCCATCTCCAGCTGCCTCCCTCTTCCCGCTCCACCACAATCACCCACACATGCAGGGCCTTGGGGTAAAGGTGTGTCACCAGGGTGCAGGGGAGGAATCCCCCCCCCCTCTGTCCCCTTCTGGCTGCCTGTGCCTCAATTTTATCCCACAACTTAGACATTCACATTACTCTCACTCTCATAACACATACATATAGGACCTTGGGGGTGGGCATGCTACACGGAATCCAAAAGACCATCAGGGTGTACACCTCACCCCTGGCGTCGTTGCCCACCTCTCAATTTTAAATGCACGTAGACATTGAGGGCTAGCAGGAGGGACCATGCGCTTACCTGCTGCTCTCTGGCAGGTAGCTCCAAGCCCTCCTGGGTTTTAAATGCACCTTAGAACACACATGCATCAACACTATAATGAGCGGGTGGAGGGAGGTTTGGAGTCTTCACACACCCCCATTCTCTGCTTCCTGTTGGAGCGGGGGGGGCTAGGAGGAGGAGTTGGTCGTCCGATTGGGGTCTGGAGTGTGGGGCCTCCCTGCTGCTGCGGAGTCGGGGCAGTCTGCTTCTCTCCACCCCAGGGAAAAGGGTAACACTACCTGGGTCTGGGTGCAGTTTCCCCCCTCCAGGGGCAGGGGTACCTAGACCTGGGGGCTTAGAGTACGCTTGGGGAGTGTGATCGTGTGTACAGTGTCTATTTATGTCTGTCTCCACGTTGGGTGAGTGTTGAGTAATTGAGAGCATGAGGGTGGGAATGGATGTTTGTATCTGTGTGTGCCTGTTTGTCTGTGTCTATATGTCAGGTCAGGTATGAGACGCCACCTCTCTGGGGACATCTCAGGCCCTCCAAGGTATGGAGGCCTATGTCCCCCCACCACTTCCCCTGCCAGTGGTGGACGCCCTCAGACATCGGTGCGTTGGTGGTTCTTTGTGTCCGGGGATGGGCGTCCAGGTACACACCGGCTCACTCCTGGTGGCTGCTTGTCGGGGCCTGGAGCCTGGGGCTCGCTCAGGCCACATCGGGGGTGGGGTGCCCTCGGCCTCTTGGCCCGGGCCTCAGTCACTCTGGCACAGCTGGCTGCCGGCGGAGCTCACGGGCACGTCACCCCCCCTGGCCTCTGGATGTCTGGAGTCTTGATCTCCTCCATACCTGCTTCATGCCCTGGAGGACGGGACTGTGGCCCCCCACACCCTCTAGCAGATCATTACATGAAGGAACCTTTTAAATACAAGCGCGTCCATGCTCACAGGTGTACACACGGGTGCTCACACACACAAACTACACCCTTTTTGGCTCCTACCTCAAAGCACACTGTGCGCTGTCGATCTTACGTGCTGCACAATAATGTTTAATATTTAATATTTACTGTTATAGTCCCATAGATCATCGTGATGATGTTGTGTATTATATTGCTCTTTTTTTCTGCTTGTTTTCTCTTTTTTCTTTCTCAACAGGTGATCCAGGTGATTGATATGTATTTTGTGTCTGCTTATTTTATTGGTTTTTGTTTTTTGCCCTATATCACCGTTCCTCTTCCCCGCTGTTTTTCTTTCCCTCTTTCTTTCTCCCCTTTCTTTTCCCCAGTCAAGTCTGTCCCGTATTTAGCAAGTGAAAATAAAATAAAATAAAATAAACAATAAAAGCAAAGGTGAATCTACGGAAGAGGATTAGGGCCACTGGAAAAAAAAATCTGAGAAAAAAGTCAGAATTCTGAGATTAAAGTCAGAATTCTGAGATTAAAGTCAGAATTCTGACTTTAATCTCAGAATTCTGACTTTTTTCTCAGAATTCAGGAAAAGAAGAAAAAAAAAAGACGTGCCCACTTTTTTTTTCCAGTGGCCCTAATCCTCTACCGTACAGATGTGATAGTTGTGACAGTACAAAATGTGAAAGCCAAAAGAAAAAAAAGTTCTGTTCAAATGTGTCAGTTTGAAAAGTTTGTACTGCTAAATAAACTTAAAGACAAACCAGAAAACCATCAAAAATGCATGTTGCTTGAATTACAGCACAGCACAGGCAGTTAAAATGTCAAAGTCGTGGAACCTCACAAGTCACATGCAAGAACTCAAGCAATTCATTCTCACAAAAACATCTAATAAAATAATAAACTGATAACATTTTATTTCCAGACGGAATTCTTCTGCTGGCATGCTTCAGATGTTTTGCTGCTATTTGGTAAATGGTGCCTGCGTTCTACACTGTCCATTTGTTAGTGGCATAGCATACTGTTGTTGTTAGATGCATGAACATCCCTATAGCTAAAAACAGAGCAAAAATTAATTGAATGGAACTTTTTCTTAGCAGTGCACACACATTGACTTTAATATATAATGTACAGTATATTGCAGTGTGCTATTAAAAATACAAAGCAATTAACGCATTTATGCACATGGCAGAGACTTTATCTTGCTGTTTTCAGAAAGACCCACATTTGTGATTTTAAATCTGAGTATACAATAATTTATTTTGGACAGGGCCTACATCCCTCTCTACCTCATGCCTCCTCCTCAGGTTTGCTGGTTTTTACTGAAGTTAACTGGCTGCAAATAAATTATGGCACACTGTTGGGAGATCATCCTGGGATTGCAGCATCACAATAATTTGCTCCACTTTGTAAATCTTACCCATAGTCTGTAAAATGAAATACATCTTTTTTATATATTTATCTAATGTGATCCAGTGGAACTCCTTTCATCCTCTCTGCTGAGGATTTCTGTGATGGTAAAATTCCATTCATCCATCACTTAAACACACTTTGATCAGTTAATATAGATCAGAGAGCTATAGATTAGAGAGGTCATATAAATCTGTTCTTTGTGCAAGGCAACAACTCAACAAGAAGTAGTTTTTATTATAACAGTGTTGTTGTAACAAGGACCCAGACTGACAGGCAGTTTTGCCAGCATGTGAATGTTCTTATATATGAGCACAGTGTTAAGCACATTCAGCACATTCAGTGGCACGCTCCTGCTCCAGCTACCTACTAAAATAGAGAAAGCATAACCACCAGATCGGTCCCAACTACCAGCCAGCCTCACTGACACTTTCCCCTGAACCCACTGCCCCACCCACAGCATGAAATGGAAAATGCATTTACAATTAATGTTTTCATAAATAGTGTTTACATTTACTTTGTTTATAATGTTGTGGCAGGGAGGTGTGATCTTTGGCTCCGCTGCAGAGGAGGGATGGTGCAGCGGGCTCGAGGGGCAGTGCCAGGAAGGCTGAGGTTCAGGTGGAGGGAATTAGCGTGATGAACTGTTCCTTTTTTAGTAATGCCAGGGACCGGCAGTGGAGAGTGGAGTGTGGAGCCAGCTAGAAACCTGTCCACGGAAAACTGAGAGGTGCCAAACTGGAAGCATTGTGTGTGCCATAACCTTTGAATAAAAAGCAATTAAACAGTTACTGAACACTGTATAGGTCCGAGTCATTCACAAATGTTAATTGTTTTCATGAGTGGTTTGGCCTTTGCAATGAGTTATGGGATGGCATTTTCCCCTATTCTTTAAGGCTGGTCCCAGTGTATCCTATCTTAAAAGAGGATCCTATGCTTAGCATTTTTTATTTTCAGTGGAGAAGACTTTCTTGAATATAACATGGAGGTGGAGCTATGGACCGCTTCAAACCCTGCGGCTAAATGAACTAAACAGCAGTAATTTCATCTTGTTGACTACCTTCCATCAGACTGCAATTTCTGATATTATTTGTGTGTAGACACATTTAAGTCAAAGTACTTGAATCACAGATGGTGATAAAGAAAATCAGTGTTAAAACAATATTTACATCCTCAGTAAATTTAATAATCTAATTCAGTCAATATTGCAAGAACTGCCTGCTCACTCTTATATACTGTTGTACTATTGGTAAAATTTGTACAATTTTAGGTAAAGATTTACTTCAAGTCTTTAAAGAATAAGTACTTATTCTGTTTTACTATTAAACACTTTAATCATCATAGTTTATAAAGTCAACTATTCATGAGCTAAACAAAAAGAGCTTGTAATAAGTTCCACTAAAGATTTGATATAATCTGCTACGATAGTTTTTTTTCCTTTCCTCTGTTACTGTAGCACAGTTCCTGTTTGTCTTGGATCAATAAGGCTGTAGCGCCTCTTAGTGGCCATTAAATACTGTACATTTCAATTAATGCACTGATTAAAATGAAAGACGCACTGATAGTTATTTAAATAAACATTATTCCAAACTAATGATACAAACTTTGTTTCTGATGTCTCTCCTCCAGAAGAGTCCCTCTTTTATAATCAGATACCAT